TATATACTTTATACCCATACATATACATACACACACACATATACATACATATATACACACACACATGCATTCACATACATTTGTCTCATTTACTCTGACAGGGTGAGATAGCTGATAAAGAAACTAGTGTGCAATTAAGCACTTAATCACTGAAGGTGATGAAGGTGCTTTTACAAGCTCAGGTTATATAGTTACATCATATATATACATTGTATGATTGATATATTACATGGTCAATCTTGGATACAAGTCCAATATATCATCAAGTGTTCCAGTACTCGTATAGTAATTACAGAGTTCAGCATACCTTAGCCCAGAAGGGCGAAAGTCAATCAGTATGGGACATTCTACAGTATAATGTTCAAGAGAGTGCATGTTTTCTCTTTCACAAAGTTGACACATTGTGTACTCGACATTTGGGTTTTGAGAAAGCTGCAAGATACGTCTATATCCCAGGCGTATTCTGGCCACTATAACATCACATTGCCGGGTTCTTGTTCTGTTAGTCCCATATGTGAATGTCTCCTCACGATATCTATCATAATATTTAATGCTACAACTTTCAGGTCTTTGTGAATTTGTTAGGTCGGTGAGATTTTCATTAGATATTTGTTTAAGTATTCTCTTTGTCACTGCTAATGAAACACCCGTATCAATTTCTACCACTGGTTTTCTGCAGGCTGTCTTAGCAAGCATATCAACAGTGTCATGCCTTGAGATACCAACATGTGATGGTATCCATAGGAATTTAATCTCAAATCTGTTTTCTTTGGCAGCTAAAACATCCATTCGAATATCACTGACTATTTTCTGGGTGTCACTACTATGTGCGTTCAATGCCACGAGTGCACTCTGCGAGTCACAGTATATAAGTGCATGTAACATTTTTTTTTTTTTTGAGATATATACAAGAGTTGTTACATTCTTGTACAGCCACTAGTACGCGTAGCGTTTCGGGCAAGTCCTTAATCCTATGGTCCCTGGAATACGATCCCCTGCCGCGAAGAATCGTTTTTTCATCCAAGTACACATTTTACTGTTTCGTTAAACAGAGACTACAGTTAAGGATTTGCGCCCAGTAAATCCTCCCCGGCCAGGATACGAACCCATGACATAGCGCTCGCGGAACGCCAGGCGAGTGTCTTACCACTACACCACGGAGACTGCTCAAATTTGAACAATCTTCTCTCGTACATACAGCAATGAAGCGCGTCAATGACTGGGCAAGTACAACTCAAACCGAACATGCAGGCATATACCTTGCCACTGAATTTTTAAAAGACAAAGGCAGTGGACTTATATACTGTGGTTAGTTCAGTGGTAGTAGCGGGGTGCGCGGTCGAGATATTACAATTGCGAGATATTACAACATATCCACTTCGTGTCCTTTTATAAAACACTTAGCGAGAAGAAACGGGGGTGACTGACTTTGAACCACAAGGTGAACTGGTGACTGTTTGGTGGTGAAAGGCACACACACGCATGCAGTGACTGGAGGTTCTTGCTGTATCTCCGTAGCAGCGGACAGTCAGTGCTTGTAACCTTGCTGGAAAGTTCATGCAAGCAAAAAACACACACACGCCCTGTTTCTTGAGGTGAGTCATGCAAGAAATCTTTTACGACTATCAGGAAGCTTAAGATAGCTGCTTGCCTCGCTTGGGTACTGTATGCCACCAGGAAGCTTAAGATAGCTGCCTGCCTCGCTTGGGTACTGTATGCCTCCAGGAAGCTTAGGGTAGCTGCCTGCCTCGCTTGGGTACTGTATGCCACCAGGAAGCTTAAGATAGCTGCCTGCCTCGCTTGGGTACTGTATGCCTCCAGGAAGCTTAGGGTAGCTGCCTGCCTCGCTTGGGTACTTAGCCACCAAGAACAGCCTCGTTACAAACACCTGTGTCCCATTGCTCCCTCAGGAACGTCTTTGAAGCTGACAGCAAAACTCATGCATCTGAGATCCTTGGAAAACAGGTCGATCAGACGCTGCGTCCCACGTTAAAAGAATTCAGTTCTTTCCAACGCCTTGCTCCCGGGTCTGGGGAATGTGGTCTTAATCTTGATCCTTAGAGCCTCGGTCATCTCCTCAATGTTAAGGTCACCTCGGCCCATCCTTGGCGTGTGAGCCCGGTACAGGCACCTTCGGGAGGACTGGATGGGTTGGTGCTGAGGTGATTAGAGATAGGGAGTTTAAGCCTATTGAAAGGGGGGAGGGGTTTAAATGAGGGACAGTAAATGTGAAGCTTAATACTGGATGACAGCTGACGTTGGGTGATGGACAGTTAGACCATTCATACAAGTACCATTATGTCAACAACATTGCAGTACTAGTAATACTGAACGAATGAAAATTGACTAAACTTACGTCAATAATTGACTATAATTTTGTGTATATTCAACTGTAAGTGTCCAGCCAATTATGATGAGCGTCGTCGATTAGATTTGGCGTCAGTGTGGTGATGAGTAAGCCAGCTGGTTGATCTGGCAGACAGAAGAGCATTATGGGAGAGATCATCACAGCATACCTGGAGGAGAGCATCATGGGAGAGATCATCACAGCATACCTGGAGGAGAGCATCATGGGAGAGATCATCACAGCATACCTGGAGGAGAGCATCATGGGAGAGATCATCACAGCATACCTGGCGGTCACCACACCTGTCTCTCAGCTTATATTTATATTTTCCTGTCTCTGCCTGCTCTCTGCGTCTGTGTCTATTCCTCTGTCCCCGTGTCTATCTGTTTATCTGTGTATCTGCGTCTGTGTCTATTCGTCTGCCTCTGTTTGTGTCTCGGAGTGTCTGTTTCTCTGTGTGTAAGCGTCTATCTGTCTGTTTCTCTGTGTGTAAGCGTCTATCTGTCTGTTTCTCTGCTTCAGTGTTTGTCGCAATTTGTGTCACTTTGTAATTGTCTAAGTGTAGTTACAGGATGAACTACGCTCCAGGTGTCCTGTCTTCCCAGTACTCTTTGTCGTATAATGCTTTGAACTACTGACGGTTTTGGCCTCCACCACCACCTCACTTAACTTGTTCCAACCGTCTACCACTCTGTTTGCAAAAGAAAACTTTCTTATATTTGTTCGGCACTTCTGTTTCCTTAGCTTGAATCTGTGTCCTCTTGAACAAATCCACAAGGGCCCTGATGAGGGTTCGAACCTACGTCCGAGAGGATCCCAGACGCGCCTTAATAGACTGTACCACGACATGGTTAAAAGTATTGTAACCGGGAGTGCAACTGCCCTCACACGGATCCTGCAGCCTCTCCGAGACACAAACCAGGGTTTTACACAATTCCCCTATGCACCCCGGGCTCTGTCAATAAGCTGTTCTTCCTCTTCGCCCTTACTTCATTACACACAGAAATCACAATAGCGTGATGCATCAAATTCATTTGATGCATCATGCTAGTGTGATTTATGTGTGGTCTGTGTCCTCTTGTTCGTGAAGTTGCTGGTTTCAGGAAATCCTCTTTGTCAGTTTGGTCTCTTCCTGATAGTATTTTGTAAGTGGTGATTATATCACTTCTCTTTCTTCTGTCTTCTAGTTTAGGCATGTTTAACGCTTCTAGTCTCGCCTCGTAACTCTTATTTTTCAGTCCCGGAAGCCACTTTGTAGCATGCCGCTGCACCCTTTCCAGTTTATTTATGTTATTCTTTAGATTTGGGCACCTGCTGCATATTGTAGTTTTGGTCTCACAAAAGTCATGAACAGTTTCTTTAGTATTTCACCATCCATATAATTAAAAGCAAGTCTGGTAGTTGGAAAGTGACTCGTACGATCTTCTCACAATGCTCTTTGTGTGTTCCTCTGACGACAGCTTACTATACAAAACCACCACTAGGTCTCGTTCTTTAAAAATATCTTCATCCGTTTCAGAAGTCTCCCTCTCACCCCTCCAGTATGTTCAAGTTTCCGAAACATCCTCTTGTGTGGAACTCTATTAAAAGCCTTTTTTAGGGTCTCTCTCTCTCTCTCTGTCTCTCTCTCTCTCTCTCTCTCTCTCTCTCTCTCTCTCTCTCTCTCTCTCTCTCTCTCTCTCTCTCTCTCTCTCTCTCTCTCTCTCTCTCTCTCCAGCCCATCCTCCTGTTTATTTAGTACTTATAGTAGCGATGAGGACCATAGTACATATATGACGTAATGAACATTTAGAAAGTAGAAATCGTTCCTATTAAATTTGTACAAACCAGAAAAGATTTTGTGTTTATGTTGCAAAGGAAACCTAAACTAGCCTAACCTAACCTTCCTAGGCCTAATACACGTTATCTGAGGCTTAACAGAGTATATATATATATATATATATATATATATATATATATATATATATATATATATATATATATATATATATATATATATATATATATATATATATATATATATATATATGCTATACTAGGCCTAGGAATATTTAAGTTTCTTTTTAGTTCAATTTTTTTCAGACTCTATAAAGTGGATAGTACCAAATTCTAATATTGTTGGTGTTGTTTTAGATTCAGCTACTGGGCACAAAAAGTTGCAAGTAGCACGGGCTATGGTGAGCCCGTAGTAGACTTAACTTGGCACAGGAATGGGGCTGTATGCTGAAAAATTTTACCCCTCTAATTGCATTTTACGTCAATGTTTATACTTTAGTGAACATAGTTTTAATCATGATGACCAGACCACACACTAGAAGGTGAAGGGACGACGACATTTCGGTCCGTCCTGGACCATTCTCAAGTCGATTCAGCTACTGGCTAGCGATTCAGCTAGATGAATTCGATTCAGCTAGAGCTATTCAGCTCTATCGACTTGAGAATGGCCCAGGACGGACCGAAACGTCGTCGTCCCTTCACCTTCTAGTGTGTGTGGTCTGGTCAGCATACTGTAGCCACGTTATTGTGACTCATCGCCTGCATAGTTTTAATCATCCTCATCCTCGTTCTCCTTATCCTCATGGGAAGGAAGCGTCTTTAGTCTCTGATACCATCAAGGTTTTACTCCCTCTTCGTACTAAAGGAAAGAGTCAAAGTCTTTGATCTGTTTATTGTATTTGTTTAGTCATCATGGTAAAGTTATAACAAGCAGAAGGTTGAAAGGGTGACTATGCATCCACCAGTTGGTGAGGTCACGTCAGGGAGATGAATCTTCCACACACACACTGGAGGCTGAGGAGTTTGGGTACTGTAGGGCCTCTTAGTCCTTCTGTTGCTTGGGAGGAAGTGACGATTGCCGAGAGCACATTTCAAGATTAACCCCAGAATCCACCAAGGCCGCCATATCCGCCATATCCGCCATAGCCCCCATATCCACCATAGCCACCATAGCCACCATAGCCCCCATAACCCCCATAGCCACCATATCCGCCACCAAAGTGATGGTGATGGTGCGGGTCAGCATCAGGGTCAGGGTAAGCCAGGGCGTAGGGGTCAGGCATAGCTCGGGCTGACCCCATCAGGGTGGCCAGGGCCACCACCAACACCACCATCAGCGACAACTGTAACAAGAGAAGATAAATTGCATACAAATAGATGAAAACTGCAGTAGGCTTACTGGAAGGATACAAATAGATGAAAACTGCAGTAGGCTTACTGGAAGGCAGCCCTCTAATTATATCCACTTAAACTCATTCATACACTCGTCTAACCAATGCTTAAAACCATCCATCAGTGTCAAATGCATTATGCTGCCCGATAATTTGATCCATAAATCAGTACCCCTTATTATCAAACCAGTATTTACCCAGGTCTTTTCAGAATTTAAACGTTTCTAATTTACATCCATTTTTTTCGTGTACCTGGCTTAGCGTTCTCTCCTTATAATAGGTTAGGGTAGGTTAGATTAGGTTACGATAGGTTCCCTTACCTTTTTCGTGTTGATGTATTTTTAAAACTATTAATATTCGTGCATCCCAATACAGTATCTCAATTACCTAATTTCGAACAATTATACATTTATTTTTTGTTTCAAATCCTAGTCGCAAATCAGATTGGGCAATTTCAACATTGTCCAGCTGATATATGTTATTATTATTATTACTATTACTATTATTATTACTTAGGGTCAAGCCCCTTCATTGTTAACATTCAAATATATCTGCAAAAAATATATCTGCAAAAAATATATCTGCAAAAAATATTTCTGCAAAAAATTCTGTTATTGTTGTTTTTAGTTCATGATAAATAACACACAGAAATCACAATAGCGTGATGCTTCAAATGAAGAAATCCACAAGAGCCGTGACGAGGGTCCGAAGTCGATTAAGGCAGCGTCTGGGATCTTCTCGGACGTAGGTTCGAACCCTCGTCACTGCCCTTGTGGATTTGTTCACTTAAATAACTTGCTCCCTGAGAGCAAGAAAATTTGCCAAATTGTCCTCGCCACCAGTTACAGTAGAGGTTTGTCTCTAGTTAATACAGAGACAAAGAATATTGATTGAGACAAAAAATAAAAATATTGATACAGAGACAAAAAATAAAAATATTAATACAGAGACAAAGAATATTATTTACTACAATGTAACACTCTCCACTAGAATGTATTCTTGTATCAAGTGAGCACCTACCACTTGTCCCGCTTGATGTATTCGTGTGCTAACTAATCTATTATAATTTATCCTCTAGAATGTATTCTTGCATCAAGTGAGCACCTACCACCTGACAGTGGTTACAATAATGGGAATCAGCATCAACAATAATTAATTTATAATTCTAATTTGTTGTATAATTAAATAATTGTATGCAGTTCTAATCTTATATTGTTATTCGCTAACACAACCGCTTAAAATCACCAGCTTTAAGCTGTGTCCATCTGAGATACTCTTTTGGCACATGATTCACCTCTGCCTGAAAATATGATATATAGAAAAGAGAACATCTATAGTCATTTGATGTACCCATAACTATATAACCATAGCTGCCCTGTCTGGAGGTTCCTAACTATATATACTCAAAGCTGCCCCTGTCTGGAGGTACCTAACTATATACCCATAGCTACCCTGTCTGGAGGTTCCTAACTATATACCCATAGCAGCCCTGTCTGGAGGTACCTAACCATACACCCATAGCTGCCCCTGTCTGGAGGTGAAGGCTGTGTACTCACAGTGTTCATGGCGAATGCTTCACGTTGAGTATACTGGCCAGTGTAAGCCCCGGTTCCTTTATATACCAGCATCTTCCGACCACCTCGCCTGTGGCTCCTCCCACACACATACACACAATCGTTTTATCTATCTGGAAACTTCTGGTATTTGGTATTCATACTACGCCGAACCTGTTGTGCGCGGCATGGGGGGGTGGGAGCGGGGAGTATGGATAGAGGTGAATTAACATAAAATGGGGGTGATATAGGAGGCACTGCTGGAGGGGGTGATACAGCAGGCACTAGTGGACGAAGTGATATAGCAGGCACTGCTGGAGGAAGTGATATAGCAAGCACTGCTGGAGGAACTGATATAGCAAGCACTGCTGGAGGGAGTGATATAGCAGGCACTGCTGGATAAGGGTGATATAGCAGGCACTGCTGGAGGAAGTGATATAGCAAGCACTGCTGGAGGGAGTGATATAGCAGGCACTGCTGGAGGAAGTGATATAGCAAGCACTGCTGGAGGAAGTGATATAGCAAGCACTGCTGGAGGGAGTGATATAGCAGGCACTGCTGGATAAGGGTGATATAGCAGGCACTGCTGGAAGGGGTGACAGAGGAGGCACTGCTGGAAGAGGAGATATAGCAGGCACTGCTGGAGGGAGTGATATAGCAGGCACTGCTGGAGGGAGTGATATAGCAGGCATTGCTGGAGGGGGTGATATAGCAGGCACTGCTGGAGGGGATGATATAGCAGGCACTGCTGGATAAGGGTGATATAGCAGGCACTGCTGGATAAGGGTGATATAGCAGGCACTGCTGGATAAGGGTGATATAGCAGGCACTGCTGGATAAGGGTGATATAGCAGGCACTGCTGGATAAGGGTGATACAGCAGGCACTGCTGGATAAGGGTGATATAGCAGGCACTGCTGGATAAGGGTGATACAGCAGGCACTGCTGGATAAGGGTGATACAGCAGGCACTGCTGGAGGAAGTGAATCTAAGCAGAAAATTACTTGATATAATACTGATGTTTCTCAGACTCTGCTTCTCTTTTTATCAACAAAAACACAAGGTCGTAACTTTTCTAAGAGTTGTCAAAACAGAGCAAGAACCGTAGCCAAGCTACCGCTAGATGCAGGTGTCGAGTAAAGACAGATGTTGACAAAAAAGCAAGGTAGAGAACCCGTACCTCTGTTCAATTACAGATGTGAAGAACAGATGTGGTCAATACCACACAAGTTTACTGCAGTAAATACAGCGAACAAGTCGAACCATCTTCAGGGCGTAAGCCGTAGGTGACCTAAACAGCTGTGAACCTCAAGGTCACGTGAGGGGTCTTTGAGTAAACAATGACCTTCCTGGACCCAGGTTTTGAATGGTACAAAAAATTATTGACGCAGGAGGATGACGATGACAACCCGGGCACTAGAGGGGGGTAGGGTGGGGTTGGGGTGGGGGGTATGTGCTAGGGAAACCCCAGCCTGGAGGTGGGACGCGGCTATGCTGTTAAAAGGGAATTGAATCTGGGATTGTTTAGCCCACCAGCTGTTGTTATAGCATGATATCGTATGGCTCATCGTCTACCTGTTTTAATGACGCGTGTGCTGGTGCACCTGTCCTTTGGGGCACCTGTCTCCTCACTCACCCGTCTCTTCACTCACCCGTCCCCTCACTCACCCGTCTCCTCACCCGTCCCCTTACTCACCCGTCCCCTCACCCACCAGCCCCCTCACTCACCCGTCCCCTGGCTGAAAGGTTCTGCAGCCCGTCCTCATAAACAAATGCCAAAAGTGTCCCCATGCACCCGCCAAACCCCTTGTTTATGAATGAAAAACTGTTTACACACGACTCACAACTGATGACGTTCGAACACTTTCGGAACAAGTGCTTCACTGACGATTTTTTTTCGAACGCTTCACCCACGTACAACAAATGCAAATAATCGTCAACAGAACTTAAACACCTAACCCAACCTATGCCTAAATATGCACAGTTTGCTAATATATAACAATATACATTTATATTTGAGAAAATTCCCATTTTGAATGAACAGCATGTTAAAACTGAGGAATTCGATTAACCTAACCTAACCTCCTAGGTGTAGTACAGATAGCGTGTGATACACGCTATCTGAGGCCTAACATAGTACATATATATGCTATACAAGGCCTAGGAATATTTATGTTTGTTTTTAGCTTTATTTTTTTCGGGGTATAAAGTGAATAGTTCCAAATTCTACTGTTGTTGTTGTTTTAGATTCAGCTACTGAGGAAAAAAAAGTTGCAAGTAGCACGGGCTATGGTGAGCCCATAGTGGACTTACCTGGCACAGGAGCGGGGCTGTATGCTGAAACATTATACCATCTAATTGCATTTTACGTCAGTGTTCGTACTATGGTGAACATAGTTTTAATCATCCTGATCCTCGTTCTCCTTATCCTCATGGGAAGGAAGCGTCCTTAGTCTATGATACCATCAAGGTTTTACTCCCTCTTCGTGCTAAAGGAAAGAGTCAAGTCTTTGATATGTTTATTGTATTTATTTATGCATCATGGTAAAGTTACAAGAAGAACGTTGAAAGGGTGACTCTCCATCCACCAGTTGGTGAGGTCACGTCAAGGAGATGAATCTTCCACACACTGGAGGCTGAGGAGTTCCGGATACTGGGCCTGTTTTGTCGCTTGGTAGGAAGTGACGATCGCTGACGGTGCAATTCAAGATTAACCCCAGAATCCTCTACCATAGCCGCCATACCCGCCATATCCGCCACCATAGCCCCCATATCCGCCACCATAGCCCCCATATCCGCCATAGCCACCATATCCGCCACCAAAGTGATGGTGCGGGTCAGCATTGGGGTCAGGGTAAGCCAGGGCGTAGGGGTCAGGCATAGCTCGAGCTGACCCCATCAGGGCGGCCAGGGCCACCACCAACACCAACATCAGCGACAACTGTAAGGACAAGAGAAGATAAATTTCATACAAATAGAGGAAAACTGCAGTAGGCTTACTGGAAGGCAGCCCTCTAATTATATCCACTTAAACTCATTCATATACTCGTCTAACCTATGCTTGAAACCATCCAGCAGTTCCAAATTAATTATGTTGCCCGATAATTTGATCCATAAATCCATACCCCCTTATTATCAAACCAGTATTTACCCAGGTCTTTTCAGAACTTAAACTTTTCTAATTTGTATCCATTTTTTTTTTCGTGCACCTGGCTTAGCACTATCTCCTTATAATAGGTTAGGGTAGGTTAGATTAGGTTACGATAGCTTCCCTTACCCCTTTTCGTGTTCTATTTTGTATTGATGTATTTAAAACTTTATTAATATTCCTGCATCACAATACAGTATCCCAATTACCTAATTTCGAACAATTATACATTTATTTTTTGTTTCAGATCCTAGTCACAAATCAGATTGGGCAATTTCAACATTGTCCAGCTGATATATGATAACTAATATTATTACCTAGGAGGGTTAAGCCCCTTCATTTTTCAGCAATAAAATATTTCTGCAAAAAGGTTGCTGTTGTTTGTATCCCATCTATAAATAACTTGTTTGGAGCCCTTTATAAATAACTTGCTCCCTGAGAGCAAGAAAATTTGCCAAATTGTCCTCGCCACCACTTACGGTACAGGTTTGTCTCTAGTTAATACAAAGACAAAGAATATTGATACAGAGACAAAGAATATTTATTTTGAATAATTGTATCCAGTTCTAATCTTATATTGTTATTCGCTAACAGAACCGCTTAAAATCACTAGCTTTAAGTTGTGTCCAGCTGAGATACTCTTTTGACACATGATTCACCTCTGCCTGAAAATATGATATATAGAAAAGAGAACGTCTATAGTCATTTGATGTACCAATAACTATATACCTATAGATGACCTCTCTGGAGGTTCCTAACTATATATACCCATAGCAGCCCTGTCTCTAGGTACCTAACCATATACCCATAGCTGCCCTGTCTGGAGGTGAAGGCTGTGTACTCACAGTGTTCATGGCGAATGCTTCACGTTGAGTATACTGGCCAGTGTAAGCCCCGGTTCCTTTATATACCAGCATCTTCCGACCACCACGATTGTGACTCCTCCCACACACATACACACAATCGTTTTATCTATCTGGAAACTTCTGGTATATGTTATTCATACTACTCCGAACCTGTTTTGCGCGGGGGAGGAGTGAGAGGAAGTATGGGTAGAGGTGATTTAACATAAAATGGGGGTGATATAGCAGGCACTGCTGGAGGGTTCGTATAGCAGGCACTGCTGGAGGGGTGGTATAGCAGGCACTGCTGGAGGGGTGGTATAGCAGGCACTGCTGGAGGGGTGGTATAGCAGGCAATGCTGGAGGGAGTGATATAGCAGGCACTGCTGGAGGGGTGATATAGCACGCACTGCTGGAGGGAGTGATACAGCAGGCACTGCTGGAGGGAGTGATACAGCAGGCACTGCTGGAGGGGTGATATAGCAGGCACTGCTGGAGGGAGTGATACAGCAGGCACTGCTGGAGGGGTGATATAGCACGCACTGCTGGAGGGAGTGATACAGCAGGCACTGCTGGAGGGGTGATATAGCAGGCTCTGCTGGAGGGAGTGATATAGCAGGCACTGCTGGAGGGAGTGATACAGCAGGCACTGCTGGAGGGGTGATATAGCAGGCACTGCTGGAGGGAGTGATATAGCAGGCACTGCTGGAGGAAGTGATACAGCAGGCACTGCTGGAGGGGGTGATATAGCAGGCTCTGCTGGAGGGAGTGATATAGCAGGCACTGCTGGAGGGAGTGATACAGCAGGCACTGCTGGAGGGGTGATATAGCAGGCACTGCTGGAGGGGTGAATGTAAGCAGAAAATTACTTGATATATGACTGATTTTTCTTAGTCTCTGCTTCTCTCATATCAACAAACACATGGTCGTAACTTTTCTAGAATTGTCAAAACAGAGCATGAATCTTAGCCAAGCTACCACTAGATGCAGGTGTCAAGTAAAGACAGGTGTTGACAAAAAAAGGGGCACACTTTTGTTAAATTACAGATGTGGTCAATACCACACATGTTTACTGCAGTAAATACAGCGAACAAGTCGACTTATCTTCAGGGCGTCAGCCGTAGGTGACCTAAACAGCAGTGAACCTCAAGGTCACGTGAGGGGTCTTTGAGTAAACAATGACCTTCCTGGACCCAGGTTTTGATTGATACAAGAAATTATTGACGCTTGTACTTGTAGGGCCCCTCCTAACCAGGGGGGCCTACAAGTACTCCGTACTTGTACTCCTTGTACTCCTACTCTGCATACTCCGCCTCTACGCAGGTCACACACCAAACCTGTGTCAGCTTAGGTTAGGATCTGTAGGTTTCATTGCTTGGAACTGTAACCTGGGCCTGGTCCTGTCCCCCAGTTCGGTTGAGATGATCTACCTGCACATTCTTGAGAGCTTGCTTTGTTAGGGGGTTATTCATGCCGGTGCCACCTCTTGGGTGGCTTAATATTCATCAATCAATCAATCTTTAGACCTTTACGGGCTCACCATAGCCCGTGCTACATGGACACTTCGTCCTGAGTAGCTAAATCTTTAACAACAACAACAACTTTAGACCTCTATAATGTCGGGAAGTAAAGTGTGTTCTTGCTGGTTGATCCGTAAGCACTTATATAGGCCTCGCTGCAACGAATTGGGGTTCGATCCTGTGGTTCGTTGAATCGAGGTTGTTCCTAGCAGGGAGTCTTGCTAACTATATATTATCGGGATTGTTCTTATTATATGGATTGTTGCTATATATATATTGAGCCGATTGTTGCCATATATTATATGGGGTGTTGCTATATTACAACGATTGTTATATGTATTATAGATTGTTGCTAAATATTATAGGGATTGTTGATATACATTTAATGAGTGATCGTTTCCATATATTTTAGAGATTGTTTCCATATATTTTAGAGATTGTTTCCGTATATTTTAGAGATTACTGACATAAATATAGGGATTATTGCCATCTTTTATAGAGATTGCTGTTGTTCCCGCCTCGTTTGTAACGACGTCAGGTCTAATTGCTTGGTTTTCTCCATATCCCGTCCTTCGTAATTTTGAAATAAGCCTCGTTGCAAACTTCTGAACCTTTTCAAGTTTTCTTTGTGGTTTTAGATGGGCGCTTGACGATGGGGCTGCATGCTGTAAAACTGGTCTCACGTGTGTAGACTTTGCAGTAGTGAAGCCGGAGGCTATGTAAGTCATTAAGTGAAGGATGACTCTGAGGGGCAAGGATTTGGGTGACAGAGTGGATGACAACGATAGGATGACCGGGTCTGGAAGACAACGACTGGATGACAATGCGTGCACACGTATAAGATGATGAGGAAAGCTGGAAAACCCAGCCCGTCATCAGAGCTCCCCGTCAACACTCTTTGTCTCAGTTTAGCAGTTCCGTCGCACGTGTGTGTGCGGCTTGGCACCCAGGTCATGTCCCGCACTTGGCAACTTTCATGGCCAACGTATTGGGTAAGGAGGAGGAGGAGGAGGAGGAAGATGAAAGAGGAGGAGGAGGAGGAGGAGGAGGAAGGAGGAGGGGAAGGAGGAGGGATGGGATGGGATGGAAATGCAGGAAAAGATTGCTGGAATAGGATGATAAAGATTAAGACGTAGCCTGGGCTGTGGCGCTGCAAAGCCAGTTCCTTCCGTCGTGTCTTGTGGTTGCTGCAGATCCTTCCCTGGCTTGTGGGTTTGCACTGTGTTGCTCTGTGTGGCCTTCCAGCTGGGTTGTTCTGTTTGCTCGAGGCTTTGCCGCTGCTTCTGTGCTTGATGTAATCAGTGCCGCGTCTCTGTGTATTTCGGTGCTGCCAGTTTGGGCTGCTGTTGTCCCGTGTGGGTTTTGATTGCTTGTACCCTGTATGTGGCCATATCCTGTGTTCATGTGCGGGTTCTGTAGTTACTTTGTTTGGGTGTGATCCCTGTTTTGGATTCTGAGGGAGGGTGTCTCTGGCCCTCACATGCACGTAACCTGTGGCACTTGGACCATCGGACAGGTTCCCGGATGACTACCTGATGCCTCAGTCTTCCCCACTACTCAGCCTTGGTGGGATTTCCCCCTTTCTACTGCAAGATAACGTCCTTCCTTACCGTCCATTGGGTACCTTTTTTCTATTATTTGGGGTAATATTTTTGTCACTTCTTTGGTTTTGTCAGGTTCTTTGGGAACTGAAACATCACTTCTGCGGCAGTTGTTCTCCATTGTGTACTGTAAGACTTTTCGTTTGTTCTCTCTGTTGGAATGTATGGTCTTGCGTCTCTTACATGGAACACTTTGAGTCTGTAGCCTCCTCGTTTATGTCTTCTTATCGTTTTTAAAAACTCCAGTGTTGGCCTCTTAGGGCTTCATTGTTTCAGTAACTGCGCTGACATTACTGGTGGAATATGTCATATCAACGCTATTTGATGCCATCACAGGACGTTCTGTGATGTGCTCACTCACTCTCCTGCCTAGAACAAGACTTAGAGCCAGGAATGTCTTCGTCCCAACGGAGGGTGAGAAAGTATATTTCCTGACACGTTCTATGGCACCTTAAATCCTATCTGAGTCCTACACATCCAAGCTTACTATCCTTCCAAAACGATCCCCTTGTAGCACTGCCCGTGGAGTTCAGCTCACTTTTATTGTGTGTGAGTTTTTTGGTTGTGTATAGTAAGTGAACACCGTTGAACATAAACACTGTTCAGCCAGACTGTGGAATGCAAGGGTCATGCGTCTGTACCGCCCTGCTGGGTAGTCTAAGGAGGGGGAGGAGTGGGTGGGTATGATATTCATGGGCATCATGGTCAGAGTTCTGGGATGCTGATATTTTCTTAGTTTGTCAATTAGAGCAGCATAGTGAAGTGCCCTGTTTTGGAATTTGTATTTTAAGCTGGTCAGTTCTTGTGGTTAAATAATGTCGATGTGGCTGATGGTGTTCACTAATAGTGCGTTCAAGTCCTATTTAATAAAAAAAAATCCCCTGTTAATCCCCCTGGTTGTGTGTATTCGATTCCATGCAATGATTGTGATTCTGTGTACTTTGGACAAACAGGAAAATTCTTACAATTGCGTTTGCCCCAACATGCTTATAGTATTAGAACTGCCCAAACGTTTAGTGCATCGACACGCGTTTGTGTGATCACACTATTAAGTAGGGTGGAGCGAAAAGCATTACCAATTGCAGTGGTTTCGTGGAACGGAATTTGATTGAGTCTGCCCTAATCAGTGTCTAAATCTTCTCAATGTTAGTACATACCAATTTGACCCAGTTTTAAGTTACGATATTGCACAACAGTTTAAGAAAAAACTCTGATATGGAGGAGTTACAATGTCTCATTACAATATTATATTCATATATTGTGTGTTCAGTGAGGCTTTTTCTTTAATCTTTCATGCTTATTATCAGACCGCTTAATCCTTTTGACTATTCTAAGGTAATCTATACCTGTTTATAGGTAATTCTTTCCCTGGGGATGGGTGGTCAGGTTCTAGTTGTTGGCCTGTACCCTCCCTTTGTTTCTTAGTCAGTCTCGTGTTGACAACGGCTTTGATCGGCCGAAACGTTCATCTCCCTTTCACATTTCTCTGTGGATTTTCCGCACACACACACACACACACACATATTATATATATATATATATATATATATATATATATATATATATATATATATATATATATATATATATATATATATATATATTTTGTGACTGGAAAGTGTAGAAGTGTAGGTGTTCGGCAGTCCTCCTAATGGCTGGTGTCAATGCCTATCACATTTTAGAAAAAATAGATCGACTGCTTGGCTGTTGTCTGTGGTAAAGTAAGGGAAGACATGCAAAACACATAGTATGAACAATGAAACTTTAATTAACTTTAAAAATTATGAACAAAGAGAATCCCTTGGCTATGTACAGTGCAAACAAATAAGTCAAAAACTATTACATAAAAATTAAGAACAAGGGTGACGTTACTCTACACATAAAATAAAGACAAAAGAATGAATAAACAGGTGCTGAGAATATAGCGCTAGCTGAGAACCTCCACCAATAAACAGAGCGTATATCAGTTGGTTGTTCACAGCTTGAGAGCACAAGGATATTCTAACTTCAATGACTGGTTCAGGCCCAGACATCGACTTGGTAGAGGGCGCTGAGGTGCAGAGGTGCAGGTGTGCAGTCGGCGGGTCACCAATCAGAAGCAGGCAGGCTGGAATGGTAGTTTGCTGGTTGACGACGGTGGCGAGCCAGCATGGAGGGAGTGAGGAGTGGGGGGAGTTTAGGGTATGTTTGCCTCCTGGTCAAAACGTTTTGTGCTACTGGTAGACGTATCTTGAAGGTAGCATCCTAGTGTTGTATATATATAAGTAACTTTACGTAGGGAAGAGCAGTCTCAATCTCTCTTGAAAGAGATTACCGTCACAATATATATATATATATATATATATATATATATATATATATATATATATATATATATATATATATATATATATATATATATACACACACACAAACAGGTTTTTACATAGATCATTTCATGCTTATATTCGTTTTTGGGTGAGGTCATATGACACAATTTTTTGGGGTGAACTGGCAAAAGACTGAACATGACACAATAGGTATATTTCGTATTTGCTGCTTCTATACTGGTTCGGTGTCCTTGAAGTGGGTAGAATATAGTTATGTGTTAATTGGCTGTTGAGTGCTGGTGTTGACTTTTTGATGTGTAGGGCCTCGCTGATGTCGAGTCTCCTGCTATCGCTGTATCTATCGATGATTTCTGTATTGCCTATATACTGAGATTTCAGTATTATTTCAGAAATCATATTAAGATTTCTCTGGTGATGGTCTGGTTGTGAGAGGAGATTATATGTTCCTTGATGGAGCCCTGTTGTTTGTGCATTGTTAATCGCCTAGAAAGAGACGTTGTTGTCGTGACTATATACTGAGATATTTGGGGCTGACAGTCCCCAGATGGGCATGTGAAGGCATAGACGACGTTGGTTTCTTTCAAGGTGTTCTGTTTGGTGTCTGGGGAGTTTTTCATGAGTAGGTTGGCCGTTTTCTTGTTTTTGTAGTAAATTGTCAATTGTGTATCTTCTGATTTTTGTCTGTAGGGATAACGTTCCTATTAATAATATCTTTCAGGACACTTTCCTCCGTTTTATGAGCTGTCGAAAAGAAGTTCCTGAAAACAGTCTAATAAAGGGTACAAGTGTTGTGTTAGTTAACTCTTCAGAGGTTGTATGGCATTTCACCTTTTTATGACGTCTTCAACAAAACCGTTAGAGAAGCCAGTGTTGACTAGGACCTGCCTTACCCTACAGAGTTCTTCATCAACCTGCTTCCAACCAGAGCTGTGGCTGAGAGCACGGTCGACATAAGCGTTGACAACACTCCTCTTGTACCTGTCTGAGCAGTCACTATTGGCATAAAGGCACATTCCTATTTTTGTTTCCTTAGTGTAGACTGCAGTGTGGAAGCCTTCCTGTGACTGACACATCTAGAAAGGGCAGCTTCCCATCACTCTCCATCTCGTAAGTGAAACTTAACACCGAATTTTGCTTGAATGTCTCCTTCAGCTGCTGCAAACGTCTGACATCAGGTACCTGCATAAAAATGTCGTCAACATACCTGCAGTATATGGCAGGTTTCAAGTCCATGTTAACTAGGACCCTCTGCTCTATGGTACCCATGTAGAAGTTCGCAAGCAGGACACCTAGGGGAGAACCCATGGCGATCCCATCTACTTGCTTATACATGTGCCTATCGGGACTTAATCCTCTGCTAGAGAAGGGAAGAGCTTAATCCTCTGCTATCAGAGTGTATCCAGCTCACTCTCATCGCCACCCATCTCACTCTTCCTACGTTTATTCCCCTCGACCCTGTACTTATCATTCTCCATCCTAGTCTCCCAGCTCCTGGGTTGAACATAACAGAGTCTGGCACAAGACCAAGACCAGTCTAAAGCAATCCTTGTCTGAAGTTAGGATCTCTACAGTTAGGATCTCTACAAATTAGTCGATGCTAAATTTAAGATTTGTGAAAATGGTTCAATGGTATTCAGTGGTATGTCGCCCCTTGAAGACCTGTGTAAAGGAACGAGACAAGACTTGTGGGAAGGAGCTCGGTGCCTGAGGATGAGTAACTATGAACCAAGGGTTTCCTACTGTGGCCGAGGCGAGGCTCCGTATAGAATACATAAGGAAGCTTCCTCTGTCACACCCTCAGAGTCAAGGGCAACAGTCGCGCCATCGCAACTAACTGGGTTTATGTCCTCTACTCTGTCTCTGTCTTTATTATCTCTCTCTCTCTCTGTCTTTATTATCTCTCTCTCTCTCTCTCTCTCTCTCTCTCTCTCTCTCTCTCTCTCTCTCTCTCTCTCTCTCTCTCTCTCTCTCTCTCTCTCTCTCTCTCTCTCTCTCTCTGGTTTAGTTACTTTAAGTCCTGTTTTGTTTTTCTAATCTCCCTCGCCCTGTCATGCTCACTTCTCGATAGTTCCCAGATGTTCACCTCTCCTTACCCGCAGATGTTCACCTCTCCTTACCCGCAGATGTTCACCTCTCCTTACCCGCAGATGTTCACCTCCTCCCGCAGATGTTCACCTCTCCTTACCCGCAGATGTTCACCTCCTCCCGCAGATGTTCACCTCTCCTTACCCGCAGATGTTCACCTCCTCCCGCAGATGTTCACCTCTCCTCACCCGCAGATGTTCACCTCTCCTCACCCGCAGATGTTCACCTCCCGCAGATGTTCACCTCTCCTCACCTGCAGATGTTCACCTCCCGCAGATGTTCACCTCTCCTCACCTGCAGATGTTCACCTCCGCAGATGTTCACCTCTCCTCACCCGCAGATGTTCACCTCCCGCAGATGTTCACCTCTCCTCACCCGCAGATGTTCACCTCCCGCAGATGTTCACCTCTCCTCACCTGCAGATGTTCACCTCCCGCAGATGTTCACCTCTCCTCACCTGCAGATGTTCACCTCTCCCTGTCCACAGGACAGCCTTACCGGTGTCTAATAACTAGTCCTTTAAATACATTTCATTATTCAGTTAATGATGTGTTGAGAGGCGGGTGAGGAAGGTCAGGGGAACGTGGCGGTCACACACTAATCTCTTATTATCATTATTATTATTAATAAACGTATTTGTATCTTAATTATTTACAGTATTATGATGATTATCTTTTCATTATTTATACGAATGATTAATGATACAGCAGGTTGTTGCTGCTAGAACTACAGTTCATTTTTTTTCTATTGTTATTTGTAGCAATGTGGAGCTTGGCTTTACTTGTGTTCATATATAGAGGATTTTTGAGCGCCTAATCCTCGAAATTTTGATTTTGAGAATGTTGTTATCCATCCATTTCTTTTTTTTCTTTATTATGCACCCAATACCCATCCCATGGGCGGTTATCTTGAGATGATTTCGGGGCTTTAGTGTCCCCGCGGCCCGGTCCTCGACCAGGCCTCCACCCCCAGGAAGCAGCCCATGACAGCTGACTAACACCCAGGTACCTATTTTACTGCTAGGTAACAGGGGCATAGGGTGAAAGAAACTCTGCCCATTGTTTCTCGCCGGCGCCCGGGATCGAACCCAGGACCACAGGATCACAAGTCCAGCGTGCTGTCCGCTCGGCTGACCGGCTCCCTACCGGCGGTGGTGGAAAGGATTATTGAGGCAAATAATCGGTTTATTTTGTCCCTTTTGAAGTGATCATATTTTGCTCAATTACCTTTTCTCCCGACTTAGTTATGTAAATAATTTGTTTTGAGGGATGGAGATGTAGCAAAGTCGGGGGGGGGGAAGGTACAGGTAATTATCAGGAGAAAGTGCTAAGCCAGTATATGACATTACACACAGAAATCACAATTGCGTGATGCATCAAATGTAGCTCAGTCGATTAAGGCAGCGTCTGGGATCCTCTCGGACGTAGGTTCGAACCCTCGTCATGGCCCTTGTGGATTTGTTCAGTATTCAAGTAGTTGGAAAGGCTAGGGGGGGGGAAGGTCTCGATTGCTTGTTAACGTTATCAAATACACACCTGTTGATATATGTTGTCAACAATATGTCACTATTGTTGACAATACACACACCAACCACATATGTTGTATGTTGGAGAATCAGGATGACCGGCATCTAGTTATAGTTTGTTATTGATGTCCCCTAACTCCCCTTGCCACTTCGGGGGGGTATAATGTAGCTTCAGGGCACCAACCCCCCCAGCCACAGGGCATGGCGAGAAGGCACCCCCTAAGCATACCGTTGATAGTCTTACGATATGTACCGAGTGTTATCTCACTACTCTAGATAAGACCAAGCAGAGGGAAGTAGTCCACGATGAATCCATTTTGTAACTTGCAAAGAATTACTCCCCCGTCACTCAGGTCTGTGTGATGTGATTTAGGTTCAACATCATGCCCAGTAAGGAACGGATTCTTATCACTTTCTACACCTCATTGGTCTATATAATCGACGAATCCTTTAGCAAATTTTCCTTGTCAAATCAGTTAATAGGACAGTATATAATTATTACAACTAATTGTTTCTCAAAGACAAATTCGTACATGAGTTTCTTGTTGTAATCAGTCGCTTTACATGGAAGAAAAACACATTTAGTTTGACTCATTTATGACCTCACAACAGTCCTTGACCAAGAGGCATTACATATAGATAGGACCACACATAAGTTGCTGTAATGGTGATGTGGGACTTCACCTTCTGTTGAAGTAGTTCAAATATTCGAATAACTTTTCGTTTTACACACACACACAGAGTTAACAAATGGAATGCATCAGCCAGTGATGTAGGAGACGCAGACTCTACACACAGTTTCAAATGTAGATTTAATAGAGCCCAATAGGCTTCAGAATATGTAAACCATTTGATTGACAGTTGTGAGCCGGAACCAAAGAGCCAAAGCTCAACCCCCCCGCAGGCACAACTAGGTGAGTACACAGGTGGCCAAAAACCCGCTGCCAGGCTTTTGGCCACGTCAGAGGTCTATGTGATGTGCCACTGGTGGAGGCACACCTATGTGATCTGTCACTGGTGGAGGCACACCTATGTGATCTGTCACTGGTGGAGGCACACCTATGTGATCTGTCACTGGTGGAGGCACACCTATGTGATCTGTCACTGGTGGAGGCACACCTATGTGATCTGTCACTGGTGGAGGCACAACTATGTGATCTGTCACTGGTGGAGGCACAACTATGTGATGTGTCACTGGTGGAGGCACAACTATGTGATCTGTCACTGGTGGAGGCACAACTATGTGATCTGTCACTGGTGGAGGCACAACTATGTGATGTGTCACTGGTGGAGGCACAACTATGTGATGTGTCACTGGTGGAGGCACACCTATGTGATCTGTCACTGGTGGAGGCACAACTATGTGATCTGTCACTGGTGGAGGCACAACTATGTGATGTGTCACTGGTGGAGGCACAACTATGTGATGTGTCACTGGTGGAGGCACACCTATGTGATCTGTCACTGGTGGAGGCACAACTATGTGATCTGTCACTGGTGGAGGCACAACTATGTGATCTGTCACTGGTGGAGGCACAACTATGTGATCTGTCACTGGTGGAGGCACAACTATGTGATGTGTCACTGGTGACAGATCACAAACTGCACAACTTAATTGTTCACCCCATCATGAGAGTGGCTACTTGGCACCGCGCATACGCACCTCCATGTTCAATGTTGACAGTGAGAAGTATCTTACATTGATTGAAGGACCTCAGTTACAAAGTTACATATGATATTACTGCTTGTCTATTTATAAACTAACTTCTCTATCAATTTGTGATTGGCATCAGGAGGCAAAGTTGTTCAACTAAGTGGTCTAAAAGTGGTCTTCATAAATGACTTACATATACTTTACAGATAAGTCGAGAAAGAGTTTTATGTTATTTCTTACAGCTTATCCAAAGCAAATTTCAAAGACGTGACCACCATAATGGCGATAGGTTTAACCCCAGTAATTCCTGTAACCACCGTAGCCCCTGTATCCTCCGTACCCACTATATCCACCATAACCTCTGTATCCACCATAACCTCTGTATCCACCATAGCCTCCGTATCCACCATACCCTCTGTATCCACCATAGCCTCTGTAACCTCTATAACACCAATATCCACCATAACACCTGTTTCCACCATAGGTGCCATAACTGCGATAATTACTGTATCGCCTGTTACTGGATTCAGAAATGGGAGCATGATGGACAGTTGGGATTGAAGGGATAGATGGCACTGGAGGGACGGGAGGGTCAGGTGGGGGTTCATGGTGGTGGTGATCAGGTGGGGGTTCATGGTGGTGGTGATCAGGTGGGGGTTGATGGTGGTGGTGATCAGGTGGGGGTTCATGGTGGTGGTGATCAGGTGGGGGTTGATGGTGGTGGTGATCAGGTGGGGGTTCATGGTGGTGGTGATCAGGTGGGGGTTCATGGTGGTGGTGATCATGGTGAGCGCTGGGATCGGGATCCGGGCTAGCCAGGGCCACAGGGTCGGCCAGGGCCACGGGGTCGGCCAGGGCCACGGGGTCAGGGTCGGCCAGGGCCACGGGGTCAGGGTCGGCCAGGGCCACAGGGTCGGCCAGGGCCACAGGGTCGGCCAGGGCCACGGGGTCAGGGTCGGCCAGGGCCACGGGGTCAGGGTCGGCCAGGGCCACAGGGTCGGCCAGGGCCACGGGGTCAGGGTCGGCCAGGGCCACAGGGTCGGCCAGGGCCACGGGGTCAGGGTCGGCCAGGGCCACGGGGTCAGGGTCGGCCAGGGCCACAGGGTCGGCCAGGGCGCCAGGTGCAGCTCGGGTGGAGTCCATCAGGAGAGCGGCCAGGAGGGCCAGCGCTGCCATCGCCGAAGAAAACTGAAACAGTCAACGAAAACGGAACTAGGAACAATCTTTGTCTCTCGCTTAAATATATGTTTTTATCAGGTCAAATATTTTCATAACAGGTGTAGTAATTGAATATTTTAATTACAGCTTGAAATTGACGCATTGAACTCCCCTCTCACCGTCACAGTTTGATTCCAATACTTTTTTTTCTCAATGTCAACATTAGAACTCAACAGAAATAAAAAAAAAATTATAACCCTTGATTGTCATCTTATTTTTATACAGCAGAGTTGGTAGATTAGGTTTATTGTATATAATGAAAAATAAGGTTAGCTTATGGATAACTTAGGTAAATGATTAGGTTAATTTAGTGTATGGGTGGTTATATAATATTATAGAGTGATGGGTTAAGTTAGTATAGTTTATATAACGTTAGGTATGGTTAGGAGCTGGTTAGGTTAGGTTAGGTTAGGTTAGGTTAGGTATGGTTAGGAGCTGGTTAGGTTATTTTGTTAGATTCGACTAATTTAAATAATTGTTAGGTTTCACAATAATTAGGTTAATTTATGCCAGCTGGCAACTGAAGGTAGCGAGTCGAATCTGTATCAGAATGATATTAACCGCCTTAAAACACAGTTTCTTAAGTGTGAAAGGTGATTGAAAAAATACTTCAATTATCTTTCGGAGCTCACAGAGTTAAGACAACACTGTCTTAACTCGTTGAGACGTTGCTGTCTCATCGTCTGTGAGAGCAACACACCCCCAAGACCAACGTCTGTGAGAGCAACACACCCCAACACCAACGTCTGTGAGAGCAACACATCCTAAGATCATCGTCTGTGAGAGCAACACATCCTAAGATCATCGTCTGTGAGAGCAACACACCCCAACACCAACGTCTGTGAGAGCAGGGAGACGAATCTGTCCAGACTGGCAGCATTAGCTGGATGACAAGGAAGCTGAGAAAGGTATACTTACAGACTTCATGGTGCCGCAGGTGAGTGACCAAGAGGACTGCCTGGCGAGGACTGGTCTCAAGGGCAGCGTCTGGATGTTTATATATCCGTGCGTCCACGTAGGCACGAATCCCAATTCGTCCGTGCCTCTTCTCTACCCTCAGGCCATTGTCTTCCTTGACCGTGGCTCTCCTCCCCTGGAACCATCTCATCCTTCCACCTACACACCTGCCCAAACTAATCCTACACACTCAAAAAGAAACTGGAATCCAGGAAGAACCATCAACTTGTTGATGGTGTCCCGTAGCGCAATAGGCAGCACGGGTATTTCACAATCGATGTTAAATCTATGATCTTTCTGGTATTACAGTTTTACTGTTACAGAGATAGGAACACATGCAGAACTAGACCTATGAGTTACTTGAAGAAATGTCCTAGTATGTATTCTGGGATGACATACTGGCCAAAACTCAAGCCCTGTGTCCAAAATTTACCTACTATAGAAAGTGTTTATAAACCCTTCAAGCTCACGCTACAGTGCTGGAATTACACTACGAACCGTATAGTTTGATTACAAATCTGCTTTGTAAAATGAATGAGGTGTTACGGAGTAATGGATATGTTTAAATTTATTTAATATTTAATATATATAACGTGGGAATTTTTATCACGTTCTCAACCATTTTTGTGTGTGACATAACCTGTGAGATTAAACCAGTGTGACATAAAAGCTTCACTCTGCCCAGTGTGACACTCGGGACAAAACTGCAGGTCGCTGCTCTCTGCATCAGGTTCTAAGAGAGAATCTCATCTCATTATATGTGATCCTTTAACATTATTGATAAAGGTCACGGAGGCGTTTTATTGACCTTCTGTGTGCCTTGAGTAGCAGCTGTAAGACGTTGTTGTGAGAGTCCTTGAATGTGTTCAAGGTTAGGTTAGGTTAGGTTAGGTTAGGTTAGGTTAGGTTAGATTTGTTTGTCCACAATGCATGACGATACCGCAAGACTCAATAACTTCAACAAAGTTATACTTTGCCGTTAATACAACACCAACATCAGTTTTTCGGAATGGATTTCCGAGTCAAAAAGACAGTTTCCTACATTTACAAATGTTTGCTAATGTCAATATAATCCTTTACAATCCTTTCATTTATCCTTATATATAATCCTTTCTCTCTATCGATTACGTGACCCCGGAGGGAGTAACGGAACCTGGAGATCGTCCAAGCTTGGCATTTGTGGTTATCACATTCTTCTTGGGAGACGGTGGGCGGGGTGACGATGCAATCCGTTGTCTGAGTGCATGCGGGATGCTGTAAGGATGTAGATACACGCCTCAAACACTCCCAGCGCCAGTATTTAAGGCGTGTGAAGGCGTGTAACCGCAAGATCGGAGTGCTCTTCAGGAGAGAGCAACAAGCCAGAGTGAGTCCGCAGCCCTAGGAAGGGATATGAGGACAAGGAGTTGGGATATGAGGACAAGGAGCTGGGATATCAGTACAAGGAGATGAGATATGAGGACAAGGAGTTGGGATATTTAGCACAAGTAGCTGGGATATCAGCACATGGAGCTGGGATAAAAGAACATATTGTCCCCTGTTAACATTTCCATACAATATTCAATTTGGAGAGAAATACGCATTGAGTATTTATTGGATTTTATTAAATAAATATTCGTCATCAACTACTGACGAGGCCACTAAAGGTATTCCACTAACGGTCCACCAGCACGTCAACAGCTTGCCCTGGAGCTGGCCCGGCTTGTGTTGCTTGTACAGAAAATTATAGATCTACTTGCAACCTCCGAGTCTTATACTCAGCCGCAGGACTTTTAAGGACTTTGTACTCGAGGACTTGATTCAAGACCTTCAAACCAAAGTTTTCCAATAAATAATCACCATATAATGTATTTCTGGGAGGTATCTTGGAGCTGTCCAATATAAGACCTGAAGATTCATCGTAGGTGCCTCGTAGGGGTCAGCGTGTGGGACTGTTGAGACGCCTTCCAGGGAGGTCACCAAGTTCAGAGATACAAGGAAGGTCACCAGGGATTACGGGTGACCTTCATTTAGGAAGGTCACAATGTGTTTTTGTTTCTCTTGACGCGGCAACAACAAGGTTACAAGACGGTTATGCCGTGGCCCAGAACACCATAAGGACGATAACCTTACCCCCAGTAGCGTCCATAGCCGCCATAGCCTCCATAGCCGCCATAGCCGCCATAGCCACCATAGCCGCCATAGCCACCGTATCCTCCATAGCCGCCATAGCCTCCGTAGCCGCCATAGCCTCCGTATCCAGGGTAACGGCCGTAACCATAATAACTATGGTAATGGGGGTCCGGGTCCGCGCCGGCGCCGGGTGCTGCTCGGGCCGAGTCCATCAGGAGGACCACCAGCACAGCCAACACCACACAAAACTGCAACAGTGAACAACGAGACATGTTACGATCATCACATAAAATGGAACTGATTTGTCTCTCTGACAACCGAACACTCACACCACCACCACCACCCCCGTCAAGATATCTAAAATTGCAACGCAACAGGTTGTAGGCGTTGTATATATGTAGGTAGGTTGTATATGTAGGTTGCATCGCCTACAACGGTTCTAGGCGATGCAACAAAAAGGTAGGCCTCACTTCTCGGTAATCACTAATAGCGAAACCCTCCAAAATTGACTGTTTCCTAGGTTTTGCCAAAAGAACGAATAACACTATAATTCCCGTTCTACGTAGTCACCCAATTACAGGCCAATAGAGTCCCATTTGACCCCGTCAGAGAGCATCTTTCATTGGGAATTAATTGAACCAATTACAATCCAGCATAGGCCTTAATTAAGCGTAACGGTATAAAAAATATAATGTAATTGGAAGAATTATTTAACGTAGTTTACTGTACACCATCATTGGTGAATCGAACAGGCAAATATGATACAGTCAACAAAGCCACTGAGTAAAAATGGTGGATACGTGACTAGAATCAAAGCAGTGGATCTGACTGTGAAATCCTAACTGGAATGTCAACTTGAGGATCTAACTCTTAGGTTCGACTGGCGCACCTAAGTGACCGCATGAACTGGCTAACATGGGACTGTGTTTGATGTCGGAACTCACGATCTTCATGTTGCCTGCAGGAGGGCAGGAGACTGGATGGGTGACTGGTTCTGTCGGAGACTGTGGTGACCCACAGTTTGTGCAGCCTCTTATACCCTTGAGTCACGTGTTGGACCGTACGCTCTCTCCCCCAACCCCTTCACACACACACACACACACACACACACACACACACACACACACACACACACACACACACACACACACACACACACACACACACGAGACTCCTCCAGGCCGGGGTGGGGCCGCTGACCAGCCGAGACCTTGGCCTTCAGGACGACAATAACCACAAGCAACTTGCACCATCTTACCACACACGTCGGAAACCTGGCCTCGATGAAGCACCCAAACCCGTATATCCGAAAATATAGGCAGTGATGACGTTTCGGTCCATCCTGGATCATTATCAAGTCCTGAATGGAGCGAAACGTCGCCACTTTTCAGACGTGTGGGTTGAGTGTCATTTTCACACATGTTATTGTGATTTGCTGTCTGAAAACTTTGTTTCATATTGGGAATTTTCTGCATGTTGCTCGTCGTGCATATGCACCTACCCCTCGAACCCCGCCCCGACTCCCTATTTTACCATCCTTTGCACGCACGCACGCACACACACACACGCGCATACGCGCACAAAACTTACCTACTTCACAGCCATATTTGGAGAGAGCACACAGGCAAAGACTGGGGAGTCAGACGTAAGACTGACACAAGCCTGTGACCATATACATATAAGGCGTAAGGCCTCCCTCATTGGACGTATTGTAGAATTCCAGAATGAACAAGACATCTGCTAAAAAGAAAAGAGACGCAATGAATACAAGAAATGACCAATTTGATGGGCGTCCAATTTTGCTTCATATATATATATATATATATATATATATATATATATATATATATATATATATATATATATATATATATATATATATATATATATATATATGTTTAATAGGGGCCTTCATTCATAAAACAACTCTATATTGAACGTAACTTCTTGAATTGACAGCAAGTAACCAGCAAATGATCTTCGGCCTCACACACACACGGGGTCCGCGGTTCGAGTCTCCTAAAGCCCAGGTGAATGGATTGACAGCAAGTGTCACAGGTTTGTGTATACCTGCCTCTGTAAATGTTGTGTTCATATATGAGGCACGTATAAGGGGGCGGGGAAGAGCAGCACCCCAGGGGAGTGGCGGAGAGAAGTGACTTTAAATCCTCGTCATGTGTAGGGAACAGTTTGTTCGAAGCGTTGCTCCCTCATACACACGACTAGGGTGTAGTAGGGTATACACAGGACCTGTCTCTCCTGGCTCCTCTAGATTAATTACATTTTAAAATTTTATTTCATTGCGTAATGTGTAGCGCCACTCATCCTGTGAGTGGACATACCGCCATACCAGCATGTACAACACCCCCACCCACCCCCCAGTAGGAAGAAAACCCGCTACGTTGTTCATCCTGTCACTTGTACCCAGACACACTCGACAGGATGAACAATCTCTCATGTTCTGTCTCTTGCTTCGAGCAATATCTATAACAACTTTTTCGCATGAGCTCATAGGCCTTTTGTAATTTCCTCTATTCTTATGTTATTTTGTTCTTAGGTACAATGGGCCCAAGCGACATATTGTGTGGATTCTCAAATATCTTCAAGAATTCTAATATCCCCTAATGTGAGACTGTATATACATTAGTTCGTGTGGAAAAATTGATCCCATCTACTTATTTTTCAAGTGTAATACTTAAGAAGTGGCGTGTAATACTTAAGAATACTTAAGAAGAAGAAGTGTCTTGGGAAGTGGCTCTTTTGTGCAGGCCTTTGTCAGTGGCACTGAGACAGACAGACAGACAGACAGACAGACAGACAGACAGACAGACAGACAGACAGACAGACAGACAGACAGACAGAGGAGGGTGTGTGATTGTTTCTTTACGGTTTCACTATTGTTTGTTGAACGTAACAGCTCCATTTACATTGTTATTAACTCATTTGTACTTTGGACTCGGCCTTTGTAGAGCCTTTGTAACACTCTGGTAGTTCCCCAAGAAGTTGATGAGCGGCGAAGGGTGACGACATTTCACATTCTAGTTTGGTGCGAGCTGCCTCGAACTACAGTCCGGGTTCCTTCCTCCTCCGCCTCCTCCTCCTGCAACTGTTATAGCCAGCACCGTTTTCTGTTATCCGTGATTAGCATCCAGATTTGTTGACGTGGGGGTTTTGCCCGGGCCGGTTGGCTTTTGTTTATGCCAGGCCCGGCTTGTTTGGTCTTGATAGTGCGTATACCCGCCAAACACACACCGATACTACAACGTTGGTACAACGTTCGAACAAGTTTTAACACCTCCTAACCAGTTATAACAACCAATATAGCAAGTTATAACAACGTTCTAATACGTCATAAACACGTTAAGCCAAGATGTAACAACTTTATTACAAGTTGTAACAAGCGGAAAATAGAGACAGTTTCGGTTTGTGTTTCCAGGGTATAGTCTTCCTCATTACTTCCGCATGTGAAGGACCTCCAAGGTGAGGGGCTTACGCTCCACGGGTCACCTGGGGAGGGGGGGGGGGACCTGGGGGTCACCTAGGGGGTCACCTAGAGGTCACCTAGGGGTCACACTTCTATAGGCGACCCGTGACCCAGTCGCTACTTCAACAGGACCTTGAACACACAAATAGCAAGTTCAAAGTTACTGCGTATGTCTTAGCAAATGACTATTTTTGTGTTCTTTCTAAAAGGAGGTCCGTTTAGATCCCGTAGTGAAGGAAGTTTATGAATGTCGGTACAGTAGATATCAGTTATTTGAGCCTCTTTAAGTAGAGCATCAGACAAACAGAAGGTTCAGAAAATTTATAGCAATAAAAAAGCATACTTTTGTAGGAACACTTGTCAAATTGAGCGTTTATTGGACAAAAGCGATGAGTCTCGCTACAATAAGAATCACAATTGATGGGTACAAAAGCTAGTGTGGCTTCTGAATTTGAGAAATTGCTACTGTCTGCAATCTTCAATTATAAATTTTGCAATATTGATTGGATTCCTCACATGCCGACGCTAACACAGGAAAGTACTGCAGCAAGACTTCTAAATTAAGGAATGAGCTTCGGGAATGATTTATTATCTTTAGTGCACGAAGAATGATTTACAAGATTTTTGGAACGCATTCTCCATCGCTGTTAATGAAGTTTCAGAATTTCTTCAGCTAGACATAATTGAGCAACAAGTATTTTATTGCCTGTCTCTACTTCCTCATCACAATCGACTTGAGAATGGTCCAGGACGGACCGAGACGTCGTCGTCCCTTCACCTTCTAGTGTGTGGTCTGGTCAACTTACTTTAGCCACGTTATTGTGACTCATCGCCTGCATATGAGCAACAAGTTAACTGTCAAAATTTTTCAAATGTTGATCCTGACACATGTTATATATGGGGCTAAATTCTCCCAGGATCAAGTACTCACCTAGTTGTGCCTCAAGAGATTATGCCCATGTTAAAAGGACATGACAACAGTATATGACTTGTCATATACAACAGTATATATCCATATACAACAGTATATGACTGTTGTCATATACAACAGTATATAGCCATATACAACAGTATATAGCCATATACAACAGTATATAGCCATATACAACAGTATATAGCCATATACAACAGTATATAGCCATATACAACAGTATATAGCCATATACAACAGTATATGACTGAGCTCCCGTATATAACAACAGCTCTTTCTCTGCAATAAACGTAGCATGTCAAGGCGGCGGTCTCAACTTACTGATGCTCGCCTGAACTCAATACTCAAGGTTGCTGTATGTCAGTCTTTGGCTCCAGACTTTGATGGCGTATGTAAGACCAAGATACGCCATGTGTTAAGAACCACCACTCTGGTAAATATAGAACTGGCAATACCTGGGTCGAAGGTTCGCGCCCACCACAAAGCCCTGATGGATTTTCTCACTATGGTAAATGTTATTATTAATATTATTAATTTAGGATAGAAACCCACACTTGTGTATTTGTGAGGAATTGACACCAAGTCTTTCGCACTCTCCTGAGTGCTTTATTAAAGTCTTGAGTGTGTGTGATTAGGACGAGACTTACATCTCAACGTCTAATCTATTACATCTAATTAATCTATTAGACGTTAAGATGTAAGTCTCGCCCAAACCACACACTCAGACCTTGACAAAGCACTCAGAAGAGTGCGAAAGACTTGGTGTAAATTCCTTACATAAAAATTCACAAATACTCAAGTGTGAGTTTTTATCCAATGTTAATATGTCAGTGAGAAGACATTAATATTACAATTATTATTAATTGTGACTTTAGGTTGTCTCAAGTACACAAATTATGATGGACTTAAGTGTCTCTCTAATGGTAAAGTTAGTTACGTATGATAGTTTGCCTTCGTAGACACTCGGAACTGCTCCTGCTTTGCCCCTCAGTGTATTTGAGTAGAACAAGGCCAGAAGAAGGATGGGTGGGTACGCCTTAAATACTGGCGCTGGGAGTGTTTGAGGCGTGTATCTGCATCCTTTCAGTATCCCGCATGCAGTAAGACAACGGACTGCATCGTTACGCCGCCCACCGTCTCCTAAGATAAATAGGACCTGCCCTGTATGGGAGAATATGGACCTATGCTCATGATAGTGTCCGTACGAGGCAGCTGTTGTTTATATCCACCCAAATTCCTTCACATATATGTGTTTAACGGACTCTTGACACACTCCAGCGACCCCCCCCCCCCCCCGTCTGTCATCCGGTAATTTATCCCACGAATAAAGTACTGAAATCAACACAGTCACATATGTACCCTGGTATAGACAGAGGGGCGAATCAACCTACCGTGGCTTTGCGCCCTGGAGAGGCCACTCCAGACCAGGCCGACGCCAGTGCGCAAGTCCATAGTCTCCTGAGACTGATGGATGCCAACTACTACTATAGACAAGTCACATGTGTACATCCGTATAGTCACATGTACACCCGTATGGCCAGGCAGTCACACGTGTATTTCCGTGTAGACAATTCGCTATTATCAATAAAGTGTGAGGTTTAACAATGGGCAATATTGCAATTTGCAATATATTTCGTAGCGTAATCAGACGCTTAAAAGAACTGTTCAACATTTACTTGCCAGGGAAAAAACACACATTCATCCTCGGTATTTTTATTATAATAATTTATTCACTTACAATGTTCCTTACCCTCTACAAGGAAAGATCATAAGGTTGATACAATACTCAGCCACCAGCGTCTTGACGTGGAGTAAGACTATCTTTTGTCCATCTTACATAGAGTAGGACTATCTTTTATTTAGAGGGAAACTGTCCGGAGGACAAAATGCATTCTCGGATTTCAGGACAGGAAGGATCCTAAGGATCTTAGTCCAGGAAGGATTAAGATGAGTCTTAAGTCTCGTAGTTCCGAACTCTACATGTGACTCTAAATGTGAGTCTTCAGGTCATGTAGAGTTCGTCGCTTGTACTGTTAAGGTCAACAGGAATATATTTTTTCCACGTGAAGTTCCCAGTTGTATACACGCACATAAAGTCTCTTTAAGAGTAACATTAGGTCCTCAACGGTAAGAATATAAGTTCAACCAAGTTGTCAGGTATAAAGATACCGTAAACTCCGCTGGGAATAATGGTAAACTCAGGTCAGCAGTATACAGTATTCAGCTCTTTGAATTTATCCGAAGTAAACACCGAAGCCAAGACCACCATAGGGATAATAGCCCCCGTAGCCCCCGTAGCCCCCATAGCCCCCATAGCCACCGTAGCCACCATAGCCACCATAGCCCCCATAGCCACCGTAGCCTCCGTAGCCTCGGTAGCCCCCGTAGCCGTAACCACCACGGTGGTGGTGGTGGCGCCGACCATAATGGCGACCAAATCTTCGACCCCAGGGGTCAGCGTCAGCAGCAGGGTCAGCATCGGCTTCAGCGTCTGGGTCTGCATCAGCGGCAGGATCAGGGTCTGCCAGGGCGAGGGGATCAGGTTCAGCCAGGGCGAGGGGATCCGGGTAGGCCAGGGCCACTGGTTCCGGACTAGCGAGGGCCAAGGGTACAGGGTCTGCTCTGCTAGGACCCAGCAGAAGGGCAGCCACGACCACCAGCGACTCCAACACCAACCAAAACTGTAACAGTTAAAAACAAACATTAAATAAGTTGATTCTCAGAAACAAATATCTTTTATTGCTCCTGCAAGAGTGGCTTTAGGAAACCAAATACAAGTGTATCTTCAGTATTTGTTGCACAAATAAAATTAAACATGAAAGTTCAACAAAGATTTAATATTTGATGAGATAAATTACGTAATCGTCCAAAATGAATGCTTGTTATTTTAAATACACTTGTGTTCAGATGTCTTTACACCTTTGCAACCGGTATTTCGTGGGGTCCTTTGGGTCATGTAGGCCAAGAGGTGTGCACGATAAACAAGTCAAAGTTGTATGGATCTAACTCGCCCACAAATGTAAATTAGTTTATTAACGTGGGGCTGCTGTGGTCCAGATCTTGATTCCACTATTGCTGTCAGGAGATGGCTTGCTCAGAGCTATAGACTGGGCCGCAGAGACGTTGATCCGCGGTAAGGCATGGTTAGGTAAGGCATTCACCCGCAGCATGGGTATGGGGGGGGGTCCACTACCACCCACAGTATGGGTATTGGGGACCCACTACCACCTGCAGCATGGGCGTGGGATACACTGCCACCCACAGCATAGGCATAAGGTGCACGATTGATGATTCAAGCTAAAAAAAAAAACTACTTGGTTTTTGCCACACAGGTTCAACGCTTCCCGGTTCAAAACTACTCAATGGGGGATTTTGACCATTAGAAGTTTCTCCAGCTTCATCAGTTTACCCGGCTACTGTTAAGCTTCTCTCAAGCTCTGGAGAGTTACATAGGCCACCACAGAATCTTATACTGACCAGTCAGTAATTATTCTTTAGTCATGAATATAATCCAGGTCTAAAACTTGGTATATATATGAGAACTATATACTAGTTGTATATACTCTGAGAATATACCTCTCGGTATACCTATTCCTGAAAGTGAGGTACAGTTTGGGTGTCTTCTTCCCTTGCTTCTGTTGTCCTTAGTTCATAGTTCATAGTCCTCGGTTCTGTTGGACCGAGGACACTGTGATGGGTCGCCAAACAGGTTAATCTCATGTTCCTTTAACTATTTGCCCGTTCATTCTCACAATTGAGGACATTTCTTAACAAATTACATTCTTTGCTCCAAATATTTCAAACAAGTGCATGTCCAAAAACAAAAATCAAAAACAATTTTGTTCATTCTGAATGACAACTGAAAGCATTTTGTAAGAAATGGTAATGTTTTCTCACAGACATAATAACATAGTGAGGTACAGTTTGGGTGTCTTCTTCCCTTGCTTCTGTTGTCCTTAGTTCATAGTTCATAGTCCTCGGTTCTGTTGGACCGAGGACACTGTGATGGGTCGCCAAACAGGTTAATCTCATGTTCCTTTAACTATTTGCCCGTTCATTCTCACAATTGAGGACATTTCTTAACAAATTACATTCTTTGCTCCAAATATTTCAAACAAGTGCATGTCCAAAAACAAAAATCAAAAACAATTTTGTTCATTCTGAATGACAACTGAAAGCATTTTGTAAGAAATGGTAATGTTTTCTCACAGACATAATAACATAGGATGAAAACCTACACTTGTGTATTTGTGAATTATGTTAAGAATTTACACAAGTCTTTCGCACTCTCCTGAGTGCTTTCTCAAGTGGACCAGACGTTGAGAAGTAAGTCTCGTCCTTTTCACACACTCAGCTCTTGACAAAGCACTCAGGAGAGTGCGAAAGACTTGGTGTAAATTCTTAACATAAATTCCACAAATACACAAGAGTGGGTTTTTTACCCTACACTATTTTGTGATCCAATGCAGACTAAATTGGCTTCTTTTTTAACATTTAGTCTTCGATTCAAGAATCTAATTGAAGGAATCTGACGAGGAAGCGGGCGTATTCTACTCTATAACCTCTTTGGGTCCGCGTCTGCCCCGGAGTGGGGGCCGTGACATGCAAAGGTAACTTCTGAGGGAGGTCCTGCAGGGTATACTCACGACCTTCATGGTGCCTGCAGGAGGGAAGGAGGGAAGACTGCAGGAGAGGTGACTGTGACTGTTTCGCGGGGTGACTGGTGAGGCAAGGCGTGCCTCCCAGTTATATATATACCCGAGCACCCAATGATGTCCCCAGGATCCCTCCTCCATACCTAGCCTCCCTACTACCACCTTCCCCGCCCCCCCCCCCCACACACACACACACACACACACACACACACACACACACACACACACACACTTGATTGAATAGATAAACATGCAAATTGGTAGGATATGTTTAGTAACACAAATTGCAAAATAAAATAATAATAATATTACAGATGCTACTATCTCTACCATTGTTACTACTACTACTACTTATACCTCGGCTGGTTCTACATCTACCACTACTACCACCGCTAATTATATTATTAATAATGGTATTGTTCAAACCTTTGTCGGGAATAAATGATACTTAGTATTATGGGTACAGAAACAACAGTCAGTAGTGGTGGTGGTGGTGGTAGTTGTGGTAGTAGTAGCAGTAGTAGCAGTAGCAGTAGTAGTAGTAGTAGTAGTAGTAGTAGTAGTAGTAGTAGTAGCAGTAGTAGTAGTTGCATCAGCTGCAGTATTTCGTAGGGTGTATCAGGTGAAGTAATATAGCAGAACCAACAGTGATCTTGCATTTTGCATGGTTAATGCTGCCTGTGTGTTGACCCTTAAGTCTTGATAGATGAGCATCAGCACCTAAAAGGCTGGTAAGGGTCGGGGGAATGGAAGGGGGAAGAGGGAGGGGGAGAGAAGAAGGAGGGGAGGGGGAGAGAAGAGGGAGGGGAAGGGAGGGGGAGAGAGAGAAGAGGGAGGGGAGGAGGGGAAGGGTGATAGCCGAGAGGAAACCAAACTCGTTTGGGAAGAGGTGGGTTTAGGGGGTTCGGATAAGGATGGGAATGATGGGGGGTGGAGGGGAGGGGAGGTGGAACAGGTACAAAAGCAGAGAGGGGAGGCGAAGGATAGTGTTGTGGGGGGGAGGGGGGGAGGATTTTGGGTTGCATTGTTACTGTCAACCGGTGTTGGAGGTAGAGAGGATGCAGCAAGAGGAGGAGGAGGAGGAGGCAGAGATGGTAGGAGGGAAGACCGCACGAGGATGAGAGAAGGTTAAGATGGCAGGTGAGAGAATGTAATGGTAGAAGGAGCAGGAGGGAAAGACGGTATAGTAGAAAGAAATAGACGACAGAAGAATGAGGAGTGAGAGAGAAGAGAGGAGTGAGAGAGAAGAGAGGAGTGAGAAGATCAAGTATGCACTGTAGAGAAAGGACAGGGGTGATGGGCGATATTCATGTGAACTTGTCTGCTACTTGGTATGTCTGCCGGCATATCTGCAACTGGGAATAAACGTATATACATCCTACACTGCAGCAGGGGGCGTTGACCCACCAGGACCTTGCCCTTGCAGGTTATACAGAGTTACTTCGGTAGTGGCGGTGGCGGAAGTGGTTACCATGAGGTTACTTGAGGTGCTTCCGGGGCTTAGCGTCCCCGCGGCCCGGTCGTCGACCAGGCCTCCTCGGTCGTGGTAGTGTTAAAGAGGTGGTAAATCTCTCTGTTTTACCAACACATTAATTGCTCTGAAATGGGTCGTTTCGCAATAGCAAAATTGGTTACTGAGATGCCTCCATAAACCACAAGCATATATACCAACAGCGATATACTCTACAGTCGACTATAGCATAGGTTCGAACCCTCAGCAAGGCTCCTGTTGGATTTGTTCATTGATATATGACGTTAATGTGATTTCTCTATGTGTTGTGATATTGGTGGTAGTGGAACCTCATTTCCAGACGTCACTTCAAACGAAGGCCTATCATTAATACAGTCTAACAGACCTGGGTCTGTTAGATCACCTAACAGATCACGCCAGAAATGGGGATGCCCAAATTCCCTCTGTTACAACTAAAGTTCGTGTACAACATGGGGGCTCCACATGGCCTCCTGTGACTACAACAGAGCACGAGAAACAGAAAGAGTTCATTAAACACCATACTAATAATATGAGCAGCGATCAAGGAACTCCTACTTTACCCCCTGCACCACGACATGTTATACAACCTGGGGATTCTGGTTGTACAGAAGTTATATAGAATATATATATATATATATAGAGAATTGTATACAAGTTCGTCAGCTTCTGGTGAAGCTAACGAACTGCTTCACCTACTCTAGCGTGGATCTGGGGTTATATGTTAAACATGGACTGGCTGCAGTAGAAGCTTCAAGCCTTCTAGCTGTGCATTCAGTGGAATCCCAGGTTGTATAACTTATATCATGTCGTGGCGCAGGGGTAACATGCTCGGCTGGGAGTTCTTTGATCGCGGGTTCGAATCACCTCATTGCTCAAGTTGATATATATATATATATATATATATATATCTCACATTAGTGTGATATCTTTGTGAATATTAATAATAATGATCATTATTTGGATAAGGATAATAGATAAGGAAGAAAGACGTATAATATATATAAACGTAATAATATATATAAAAGGATAATAGATAAGGAAGAAAGACGTTAGCGTGAAAAACGCAATATGGTATACAATTCGCGTTTTCTGTGATGGGCGGCCATTGCCCCGTGCCCAACAGTTTCCACTGTCAAGGCCAACAGGCTGCCCCTTTACTCTCTCGCGGGCGCTCACCCTGCGCTGGGAAGTCCCAGCGTAGCGGTCGCGCGCGCGTAACAGCCGTTGGCGATGTACCCAGTGATGGGTATTTCAGCTCCGGAACTAGATACCCGTCCCACACTGGGATGAGTATCAGTCTAAGATGCCCCCAACCCCCCCCATTCAACAGGTGAGTTACCAACAATGAATGTCACCGGATTCATAGTACATCTAGTACATAACATCACTGCATTCAGAGATGAGTACGAGGGGTCCCAAAGTCATACCCACCACTCAGGAATGCTACCAAGAATCCAGGACGCCCTCTCTCACTCAGGGATGGTGAGTACCAAGAGTCCAGGACTCAGGATGGTGAGTACCAAGAGTTCAGGACTCAGGGATGGTGAGTACGAAGAGTCCAGGACTCAGGGATGGTGAGTACCAAAGAGTCCAGGACTCAGGGATGGTGAGTACGAAGAGTCCAGGACTCAGGGATGGTGAGTACCAAGAGTCCAGGACTTAGGGATGGTGAGTACCAAGATTCCAGGACTCAGGGATGGTGAGTACCAAGAGTCCAGGACTTAGGGATGGTGAGTACCAAGATTCCAGGACTCAGGGATGGTGAGTACCAAGAGTCCAGGACGAAGAGACAGGAACCTTCCAGAGGGAAGGGGATCCTGGTGATGGTATCAGGTCTGCCAGGCTGTGATGGCCATTGCTGGAAATCTTTACAAATTAAACACAGGCCACGAACCAGCCAAGGACAATGGAAACAGGTTGATAGCCGGACGACCTTCACGTCACTTTTTCCCGCCTTTTCCCCCCGCCTCCCGCCATCTTTCCCCCACGCTCCGCCACCCCTTCCTTCTCTGTTCTTCTCTTCCCTTTCTTTCTTGCCCCTTTCCTTGCCTCCTGGCTCCTTTGTCAAGCACAAGGCGTGGGAGGGGGTCAGGGGGGAGATGGGGCGGTGGAATGAATGGGTCATTTGCACAGTGACGACCAGATACATGCCCCATCATGCCAACAACCCGGCAACATACGACCCATTGTGCCAACAGCATGGGGCACGCTGTTGGCACAATGGGTCGTATGTTGCCGGGTCGGGACGGGCGATCTTCCATTGAAGACGAGCGATCTTCCAGGCTGCTCGTTCAAGGGTACGGTCACATCGTGAGACGAGCGTCTCGATCGCAGCTCAGTTATTACGTTAGAATTGTATGTATAGGTTGTTTTAGGTTAGATATGTTGGGTAGTGCTACGTTATTGTTATAAACTCTGGCAATCCTGGCACTCTGCCCAAGGGACTCCCGCTTATCCTACGTTGGTCTTAAGTTTTGTATACCACTTGTCATGTTATTCATGAACACAGCTGGCCGCTAACTGTTCGGACAAGAACAATGTTAAAATGTTTCTCTCGCTGCCTTGCATGTCAAGTACCTCCCAGACCTGGACACCAGAGGTCTGCTCTCTCGAATTCCCTGAGGTGGTGTAGCTGCTTTTCTGCAACACCCTACGAGTCGCTGGCTCCAGATACGACTCGCCATCATGAGTTACGACTCACTATCATAAGTTACGACTCACTATCATAAGTTACGACTCGCCATCACGAGGTACGACTCGCCATCACGAGTTGGTGAGGCAGCTCATCTGGTACCAAGCATCTGTGAGGCAGATAGATGCTTGGCAACCCACAGTCCCTCCCACCCTCCCCTGGGAGGCGAGGGACGGACTCTTGAGGGACCACAGGGAACCTGCTGGAAGACCATCTACGCCCAGGCACGCCCTGGGTGTAGATAGGACATCTACACCCATAAGGCGTCAAAGGTCCTGTCAACTCTGGAAAGTCGCGGCTGAACGGGAGAATGGCGATGGTTCCTATAGTTCAGCGGTCTACGCTCTCGACATACAACTAGATGGCTCAATCCCCGGGCGAATTTGAAATGATTGGGCACTTTTCGAAACACCTGATGCCTCTGTTCATCTTATACAGCAGTTGGGTAACTGTTGAGGGCATCCATGGGCAGGGGGAAGGCCAGTAGTTGACACATTAGGAGGCGTACTAAGGCTTACTTGTTGTACTAAGACTTATGAGCTCGATATAAGTCTTAGTGCACACTTCCTGTTCTCGATAGTTGAATTATATTCCAGTCTTGTCTAGAACCTCGGGTTCCAGGGGGGGGGGGGTTTCCACAGCCTGGAACTCCAAGTCAGGCGGAGTTCCAGGCAGCGGCGAGTGATGGTGTTAATGCTCAAACATTTACTCACCTAATTGTGGTCCAACTACTTGGACTGGACGGTAGAGCGACGGTCTCGCTTCATGCAGGTCGGTGCTCAATCCCCGACCGTCCAAGTGGTTGGGCACCATTCCTTTCCCCCGTCCCATCCCAAATCATTATCCTGACCCCTTCCAAGTGCTATTAGTAATAGCTTAGCGCT